TTATAACCCAACAAGGGTTATACAGAGCTGGAAGAGGATAATCCACTAATAAAATGACTAGTAGAAGTTGTCTAAGGACTGCTCTTCTAAAACAACACAATCAGAAAGAGCTCTGTTGTATTGAGTACTGATAAGGCACCAGAGAAATATATCTTCACACGTAATTTAACTTCAAAAGCACACTTTGTATTACTATCAACACTGCTATAGTGTTATTCCCAATTGATAACTAAAAGAAATAAGCAATATCTGATTGATATTATTCCCAATAAGTCTTTATGACTATAAAACTAAAGTAAATTTCTCTTTATAATTGTAATAAAGGGCGTATTTAAGTGACCAGGTACTATTAAAATAAGTTTATAATGATAAACAAAATAATAATGGCGTAAATGATAAAGAAAAAAAAGGGGAACCACAGTCCCAAAACCCTCTCAAAGTATATATAACAATGTACTAGAACTTTTACAATGGTCAACAGCCTCAAAACCAATCAAATCCGCCCAAAATTCCCTAAAAACCCTATGATGACGCAATGTAATGATTTTGTTACTAATAAATGATGTAATTTTCACAGCTAAAAGTGATCAATGACGCAATAATATGATGTACAGCACTTCTTATGATGAATACAGGTGATTTTTTCCTTGTAAACTAGCTGAAACCCAATTTTTGAGATTACGAATTTTTTCAGATGTGCTCCAATTTTTGATTACTAAAGTGCATCTTGTAGCCCACGTGTTACTGATCATTTCTGACACCTACATGATCTACTTCTGATGAGTGATGAGTAAGATATTGAGTTGTGAAGTTAAAGTTTTTAGTGTTACATGTGACTTGTGACTGTAAATTCGAGATTCACACCAATTCTTTATTTGCCTTATAACTTTTTACACACACCTCCATTACTAATGATTTAAAGTTTGTACATTATGTAATCCACTCTTCTGCGTTGAATGAGCCATCTACCAACCTATTCTGACGTCATTTGACATATGTAATTAGCTGAAAACCTCCATTTTCCACGAATTTCACCCATTTTCTTCACTTTTCACAGCTACTACTCTCTTTTTCTTGCTCTTGTAATATGACATCATCATCTATAACCTTAAAAATCCCGAAAAATCCTCTTGGCAACCTTAAATTCCATCACTACCACTATTACACAACCAAACTACACGTGTACCTCTTGTTTACCAACTTCGAAAAAGTGCCTTTTCCCTAATAACTTCTGTTTCTACTTATCAACCTTGAAGATTAAAATTGTCATAGTATAATATAATGTTGTTCTTTCATATTCTAACCTCATAATACCCATAACTTTATTTTTACTAACCTAAAAACCATTTTCCAACCTTTATACCTATAATTTCGAATTTTTCTTATGTTTTTCTTTCTTTCTTTTTGTAATAAATTTGTAAGTAAACTATAATGATCTTAATATATAATGTGAAATAAAAAATGATGTAATGTTGACCTAATGACCAATACATAAGCCTACAAGAGCTTCAATTGATCAAAAACCTCCATTTCGAATTTTCTTTCCTGCTGAATCCTGCTAATAAACTGGTAAACTGGTAATTGTGAATTTTTTAATTGATCCCATAAATTGATCACCACAACGTTACGGCAATAAAGATCACTGGACAATCCTTCCAGCGGTAGCGGAACAAGGAATGATAGCTGGTGTTGTGGTGAAGGGTCCAGTGGAACGTATCCATGTGGAGATGTTTCTGAAGCGTCACTTGGTGCGTGCAAGAGAAGCTTCTCTGCCTGATTAAGGAACTGACGTTGATTGCATGATGTCTTCGTTCGTAGCTACCTGTCATGAATGCCTACCCTGCTCCCAACTCAGTTTTGGTCCTCGATAATGCCAAAATTCACCATGGTGGTGACATTGAGGAGATCTGCCGAGAAAGAGGGATCCTCTTGGTATATCTACCTGCGTATTCACCTGACCTTAACCCAATTGAGAAGGCGTTTGCTGCAATGAAAAAAAGGCTTCAAAGGGAAAAGGTTTGGCATTTAATCGAGGATAAGGCTACATACCTTTTGCGATTGGCCGGGCGGGTTATGATGCGCAAGCTTATGCAACCGTTGATGGTAAACAGTGGTTATACTACCGATTTTTATTGGGATCAGTTCAATTCCAGATTTCAAGATTGAGATGTTAAACATTCCCTGACCTGTTTTGAAAGGCTCTCTGCGTGCTCCTGACTGAATTGCTTACTTTGTCGGTTATTCATGCCTCAAATAGTTTGACTACTTTGTTTCTTACTGTGCCAGGTAATCGTAACGCAAATTAATTAACCACAACGTAAATTGTTTAACCACATTGGTGGCTTGTCGTTCTTCTTGTCGTCTTGTCACTTGTTTTTGTTTGAACACGATGTTTCTGAGAAGATTTTTTTTGTGTGTGTCAAAACATGATTATGTGTGCGTGAAATCCAAAAGTCCTGTGTTATTTGATGAACCACTGTGCCCAATTCGCAAGTCATAGGTTGACTTCTGTGTTGGCCGCATACTGTCAACTTCACTGAGCCTGTCCCACAATCAATATATTGCCCAACACCTCTGTCCGCAGGCATGTTGCTTCCACGGCTGTTTCCCTTTCCTTTCAAGTCTCTTATGAGCAAAGTTGAAATGCAAACATCTTGATGAGCGCGGTAAGGTTTTTGAATGTTGAGGCAAGGGTCACTTGCTCACGAGTTGAACTCTTCAGGTTATGCAAAAGTCTGGGGCCATAATGCATACTTTGTTCATTTCGTATTTGCATCTCATGAAACTTGCAAAAGGCTCTTTGGCGTGATACAACGTAGCTCACACAGACAGACACATAATAGAGCGCAAAGACAACAAATCGGTCACACACAGGTATCATAAGAAAGCGAGGCTCCAAACTGAAAGCCATAAGAAGGTCACATCACAATCTTTCATTCATCCATAATTGCACATAAGGGAATTGCAAAGGTCATGACCAGGCTGAATAAGGAGTATTGTCGTGGTATCTAATAACCACGTTTGTTCATATATTTCAAGTTTACCTATGTTGAACTACCGTCAAGGACTTCCGGTTCAAGTTGAGAACGCTGGTCAAATTAAAGATTTGTGTTAGGTGAATTAATGAACGAATGAAGAAGAGATGAGTGCGAATAGGGAATGTTGGTTGTTGTTACAGTGGTTTCTTTTAATTTGGGAATAGGTCGCATGTGACCTGAGTGGTTCTTTTATGTCCGAGTGTTTAATTTGTTTTCATTTCATATCTTATATATATAGGTCACTGTTGCACTACACAATTTCTTTCCTCATCGGAAAGAAATTGTAAGTGTTTCCCTTACTCAAATCAACGATTTCAACGCTGTCCTAACCTTTATATTAACATTATCTTTACAGTTTCTTTATTCTCTTTACTCACTTTTCGTATCAATTTTTGCCTACGATTCATGTTGCTTTTCGCACAGGTTTGTCTCAGCGTTTCACTTTCTATTCTTCTATCTTTACTAACATCTTGTGTGGTCAGGTCTGTCTCGTATCTTTTAGTGCTCTTCGTAGCAGTTGAGGCTTGTGCTGTTTCACTTACATCAGCACCTGATTACTCCAGGTTAGTAACTAATATGATCGGAAAGAAATTTTTCTTTATTCTCTTTACTCACTTTTCGTATCAATTTTTGCCTACGATTCCTGTTGCTTTTCGCACAGGTCTGTCTCGTATCTTTTAGTGCTCTTCGTAGCAGTTGAGGCTTGTGCCGTTTCACTTACATCAGCACCTGATTACTCCAGGTCTGTCTCGTATCTTTTAGTGCTCTTCGTAGCAGTTGAGGCTTGTGCCGTTTCACTTACATCAGCACCTGATTACTCCAGGTTCCTATTTCAAACGGCAAAGCCACGATAACTGTTTTATACTCGAGCGCTAGACATCTTCACAAGTATCACCCATAGTGGTGTGTAGAAACATTTTAAAAGGTAGAACCACTGCCACTGGCACGAGGGGCATTGTAAGGCATACTACTAGGGCCTGCGCGAGGGGCGGTTGGGGTGATTTGAACGGTGTCCGCGGATCAAGTCTCCTTAACAGTCGAAGGAGGTTTTGGAGTGCTGGGGGTTTTGTAACTAGCAATCTCCTTCTTGATCTCACTGCAAACATTATTCAACTTCCCCAAGTGGGCAGGAAAAAGTGATTGGGAGTATGATTTGTCATAAAATGATCTATCACTCCACACCTGAGCCATAACACCCACACTACATATGTGTAGCAGGCTCAGTGAATATGTGATTATCATGTACATACAGTTCTGCTCAGTTATCTGCTCATCAGGATAAGTTATGCATATGTAATACATGCTGTAACTTTTTTGAGATCAAAAAAAAGCATTCCAAAGATTGACTACATACACTGACTCAATGTTTTGGTGTAATCTCATGAACTCAACTACATGTAACACCCTTTCTGTTACTAAGAAATAGCTTCAACAATATTGCCTGAGGACCTACAGAATTATATGTAGTGAATTTTGGGCACAATTTTTTCAAAGTAAAAAAAGTTACATGTGGTATAACATGTGATTTATTTCTGCTGGTGGGCAAAAAACTGAGCAGACCTGTATGTACATGATAGCCCACTATTGACTTAGCTTGCCGCACATATGTAGTGTGGGTGAAATGGCTCAGGTGTGCAGTATTAGATTCTTTTATGACAAACTGTACTATTAATCATTTTCCTCTTACAATTTGGGGAAGTTGAATGATGTTTACAGTGTCTGTTGATAAAACATGCGGCTTTGAGCAAAAAGCTTCATGGCCATGCCCCAAGAGATTCCCAACCCCAACATGTCACATATGTTCATGAGATCAGGAAACAAAAATTGTTCGAAGCTGTCGATGTGGTGATCGGCCAGAATCTCCGCAAGTTCACGCATGAAAAATGGAGTGATTCCCGTGTAGTCGAGAAATTCGTCCATCGTGCAGTACTTCTTGATTTCTTCGAGCTCGTCACGATTGACTCAAATGTGAAACCCTTGGCATTCAGCATACCCACCAGGTGAATCAATGTGGCCAATGTCACCCTCACCGTGCTTGTTCTTCTTGGCGGAAGGGGGAGGAGCAGACATCAACAATGGCCTTTTGACGTCGGTCCATTTGAAGCCTTCGAGATACATCGGAGGATTTTCCAAGTCCACTCCAGCTTGTTTTTTGGCCTGGTGTGGATCATCATCAGTGAGAGGTACAAAGGCAAGGCACATGTTATGAACACTAACCAGCTCTTGAGCCCACTTGTGCAGATGCTCGTAATTCATTTGCATGTATTTTGAAGCTTCATGTGGCTTATAAACTCGCCATCCTTCGCGACTATGGTTTTCCAAACTGCCATACTTTTTGATGAGAGACTCAAGCTTGACTTGAATGGGATCTAGTGGAATGGAATCGGCTAACTGGGAAGACGTGACACTTGAGTTGTTCATTGCGCTCATCGCTTTGAGCCGTGATTGTGCCATTGCGATTTTCTGGCCAGAGTGACAGATGGTAAGTAAACCCGATGAAAAACAATTACCTACATATTCGGGACTGACCGTATTGGCCATCTTGGCAGATTTGGCCGGGTCAGCCATGGAGATACTAAGCCCGGCCTCTGTCAAACGAGCTAGCTGAACCGCAGCGAAAAACTCCTGAATGTTGGCATCGCTACCTATCTTGCGACCCTTGCTCCTGCTGAACACGTTGTGTCAATCTATATAACCCGTGATGGTTACTGATCCACCAGCGTCAGCAAGTTTGAATATCGCACTGTTCCCTCCAGGTGCAGCATCTTGATTGATGGTATCAGCAACTGTGAATAGCATGTCTTTCAGACAATTATCTTCGAAGTCGGTTCAATACAATATGCCATCCATTTCCCAACCCTGCCTTTCATCTTTTGAACCGAGGATTTAAGAGGATTAACCCCCTTTTCCGTATACATTAAGTAGCTGAGCTTCACATTGTAAGACCCCATTACATTGACTTTGACCACTGGAGCTGTACATAAATCAATGCATCGTGAGCAAGGCGGCATCAAAAAGTGCAAAGGAAACAAACGTACCTTTTCCTTTGTTAGGAGCTTCGATCACAACATCATCGGAGCTGGTGGAACTAACCGAAGGGATACGGGTTGCCTTCGCCTTGCCTGAGGTGTTGGATCCCGTGCCGAGATCAGATTGCATGGTGGCTTCAAAGATACGGGCAGAACAATTGTTGAAGGGAGGGGTCCAGTCAAATTTGTCGAGTTTGTCACGCTCGTCCCCAGTGTCCAAATCAAGATGAATCGTCTTGGACTGGGCCACGCTCGGAGTGATCGAACCGGGCGTGTTCGTACCGCTTGAGTGAAAATCATGGCGGCCTAAGTTGGGCAACTTGGGAAAGTTTGGAACCCCGTGAGCTGCAGTAGGAACGGCCGGTCTATGACTAACAAAACCGTGAGTCAGTTAACCAAACAAACTAGACATCAGGATTGGCGAGTCTCACCTCATGACCGCTTTGCTGTAACTGTGATGAGACAAGAAAGGAACCGATTGGAGGCCGGCAGTTCCAAAACCCAATGGGGGTGACACCGCACCGCCGCTCGCATTCACGGCCGGACTAAAACATCAAAACGTGAGCAGAGCACCCATCAAGGAAAACAAAAAAACACTCACGCCAAAGGTGTTTCACCATTCTCGTTTCGGACTTGGTTCATGCCGTATTGGCCAAATAGAGCAGGGTGTTGGTGTTGAGAAGACATTTTTGCTGACGGTCGACGGTTTGTTTGAAACAAAAAGAAAATTAAAAAGCTTTGATGCAACTGAGAGATGAAAGGCTGGTAAGCAAATTTCCTATCGAAAACAAATCTGGAAGCGTTTAGGGGGAGAAAGTCCTGACGAGTCGAGCCACGGAAGCCATCATATCGGTCAAATTGGAGGTGAAGGTGTACAAAGTGTGGGTATCGTTCTTTTTCCATCGGATCTCCAAATGAAATCTGCATGCAGGAGGGGAAGGCTTGTGGAACCTGCGAGGTGTCATAATCATCAAACCTCATCTGACCGGACCTGGTACCCAGTCCACAGATTTGGCTACCGTTGACGTCGCGCACGGACTTCTTGAACTTTTCAAAATATCCAATGCGGCAACCTTTTCCGGTTTGACTGTAATTACAATACATGCAATACAAGGCTGTAGTGCTTGTGGTTGGTTATTAACAAAAGGGAACAAGATAATTCCAGACTTCTTCACACGTACTGTACTGACATTGTTGGATATCTTACAGGTTATCATGTTCTGTGGTCAATAGGGGTTGGGCAAAATTTTGACCAACCGGTTTTGCGCCTCTGAGAAGCCCGGCAAAAGGTGTCAAAGATCGAGGAAAACAAGTTTCCTGGGTTTACACGTCTGTTACGGGTCTCACCTCAGCACCGAGAGATTTTGGGCGGGTACCTGGGTTAGCTTTTGCTAGAAGAGAAGGGTCTGGGGATTGGTGAAAGGTGCAAGAGGGTGTTTGCGTGGCTTGTAGTGGTGCAAATTGCTTTTTGCTTTTTGCTGTAAAAGTTTTGAATAGGTACAGCTTTGGCATGATCAAGAAGCATCTCATACCGGTCAATCTTTTTGCTTTCTAAAAAGATTGATAAAAATGTTTGTTGGTTTTGTGTGGCTTTGATATTGATTTTGAGCCATCTCTTAAGTGTTCCCAAAGATTTGAACTGTGATTGAACAGGGTTTGGAAACTGGTTGGTTGGTTTTTCGCCCAACCCCTAATGATGTCATTGTGTTGTACCATGCTGTTTACCACATCCGACATTAACCCTTTGATTTTCACCATCATCAAAAAATTGTCTATTTTTTCTCTAAATTGATCAATTTTTCGCATCCCTCCCTCCTCTTCCCTATATTTTAGCTTTTATTTGAATTAATAGCATTTCCATCCAGTTCCTAATTTGTAAGTTTTACTTATCCATGTTTCAATCACAAAGTTAGACTTTGTATTTGGAGGGGCCCTCCCTCATAGGGCTTCACAATTTTGAAGGAGCGAAGAAGCATGTAGTGAAAAACTATCATTGCACCATAGCTCTGTATCAGTTGTATCTAAATTACACGGTTCAAAGATTTTTGTTTCAATTTTTTATTTTTTTTCTAGTTTGAAGGAACCTAATATCCTCCAAGCTATCTACTTTCTTCAGACTTTTTATTATACATACTTCCTCAAAGGTATGTTGCAATGTATGTTATATCATAGGATTGTGCTCGAAGTTTCTTTGATGAATTTTCACAAAAGTTGCAGGAGTCAAAATTTAAACCACACTTGTCATCACCTCCACTTCAAGGTAGCTTTCAACTTCAAACAATTCCTATTTCATTGAATCATTTGAATCCAGTCAAGGAGCATGCTCAACGCTCAGATATCCTCGTCAAACTATCTGAGGGGCTAATTTTCACATAGCAAGAGTAGGTGAATCCGATTCTGACGCTATAAAGCTCAGGGACGTTTTCATTACTTCTTTCCTCCTGAATGGCACATAGAGTTCTTTGTTGGTTGGATCAATATTGTTCAAGTGTTATTTTAGATGTCTCGAGCGGAAGACATTCTTTTAAGGGATGAATGTAGAAATTCAAAGTATGAAGAGAAGGAATAGTGAAATGATCGATCGACAAATGAGAATATATGGAGGTGAGCTACCGGTTAAGATAGATAGCCGAGATAAGCGGTGTGTGTAATATCGAACCCAAGATAAGTTGCTGTTGACCTCTCTTGACCTTGATCGTAATTTATGAAACACCAACCACGCATCAAGTCAAGAAGGCAATCAAGCATCGATCAACTTTCTATCTAATCTTATCATCGTCATTCAAAATAGTCACATTAGCAGCCAATCATGACTTCTAATCAACTCGATTTTTCAAAAAAAGTTAACAATCTCGATCTTCGTCTCCTACCACTTTCATTAGGCTTTTACTGATTATTCTTAAATTTGATTTCCAGACTGTGATCGTCACTGGTGGTGGTGGTGGTTTAGGTAAATGCTATGCTCTCTTCTTTGCATCTCGAGGCGCAAACGTGGTGGTCAACGATATGGGCAAACAAGCCGCCGATCAAGTAGTTTCTGAGATCAAATCCAAGGGAAAAGGTAATGCGGTTGCCAATTATGATAATGTTATCGAAGGGCACAAGATTGTCAAACAAGCCGTTGACGTATTTGGCTCACTTCATGTGGGTATCATGTTTTGTCATCGTTCTGCTTAGTCATTCAAGGTTATAATGTTAATTCTCTGGGTCTCTTCTTGATAGATTCTCATCAACAATGCGGGTGTCTTGCGTGATAAGTCTTTCAAGTCAATGACGGATCAAGATTGGGATACTGTTCAAGCAGTTCATGTTCAGGGGCCTTATGCTTGCACTAAGGCTGCCTGGCCGATCTTCCGCAAGCAAAAGTACGGCCGAATTGTCAATGTGTGTATACAACTTCATTAGCTCTGGTGTATCCAATTCATTCTGATCGGCCTATCTGATTCATGCTGGCTATCTTTGAACTGTAACTGCTGATGTCAACAGACGGCATCCGCTGCAGGGATCTATGGAAACTTTGGGTGAGCTTGTTTTCGGCCACGGCACGTTGATGATTCAAGAGAGTATGAATTAATCACTCGCAATGCTTGTTTAACTCGCGCAATACCAGGCAAGCCAACTATTCCGCCGCAAAGCTATCTCAAGTCACCTTTGCTAAGACCTTGGCTCGCGAGGGGGCAAAATATAACATTGTTGCCAATGCCATAGCACCGGTTGCTGCATCTCAAATGACAGCAACCATTATGCCACCAGAGATGTTGAAAGAGCTTAAACCTGAGGCTATCGTTCCACTCGTGGCCTTTCTAGTCTCTGACCAGACCCAAGAAAGTGGACAAATCTTCGAGGCTGGCGCTGGATGGTTCGGTAAACTGAGATGGGAGAGAAGTCGGGGTGCTGTGTTCAAAACAGATGATACTTTCACTCCGTCAGCTGTAGGTTTATCACTCGATCATCCTATCTCGCATGGTCTCATCGTGGGGTGTTGTCTGGTTTGCCTTTAGGTCATGGCTCGGTTTGACGAGATCAACAATTTCGAGAGGGCTGAACACCCAGAAAATATCACAGATGCTAATTATCTCGACTTTTTAGAGCAAGCCAAACAGCTATCATCGAACAAGCAATCATCGAAGCCTCTCAGTTACTCTGGAAAGACTGTGATAGTGACTGGAGCCGGAAATGGAGTGAGTCGATGCGTTACTCTATATCATACTATGATGAAAGCTTGTCTGACGAACGCTTACAATGATAGCTGGGCAGAGCATATGCATTGATGTATGGGAAGTTGGGAGCGAATGTACTGGTGAATGATATGAACAAGGAAGCGGCGGAGAAAGTAGTGGATGAGATTAAGAAGCTGGGTGCGAAGGCCGCGAGTAATGTCGCGTCGGTCGAAGATGGTGATGTGGTGGTCAAAGCAGCTCTGGATAATTTTGGGGGCGTCCATGTGATCATCAACAACGCCGGTATACTAAGGGATAAAAGTTTCATCGCTATGTCCGACGCTGAATGGGATATCGTTCAAAAGGTTCATCTTAGGGGCACCTACAGCGTCTGCCATGCTGCTTGGCCGATATTTCTCAAACAGAAATACGGCCGAATCCTCAATACTACCAGTGCAGTTGGTTTATACGGGAACTTTGGCCAGGTGTGTCAAATATGAAGTAGCAGTGCGTCCTGCTAAGGTCATGTGTGTTGATTTCGGCTATTCTTCTTTCAGGCAAACTACAGCACTGCCAAGGCCGGTATTCTCGGTTTGTCAAAGACCTTGGCAATCGAAGGCAGGAAAAACAACATCTTTTGTAATACGATCGCACCGAACGCTGGGACCTCCATGACAGCTACCATCTGGCCAGCAGAGATGGTACAAGCATTCAAGCCTGAGTTTGTGGCTCCATTGGTTGGTTATCTTACTAGCGAGGCGAATCAGGAAGCTACTGGCCAACTGTATGAAGTTAGTGGTGGATGGTGTGCTGCGGTCAGATGGCAACGGTCCTATGGACACTCGGTGAGTGTTTTAAAATCTCGTGGTGGTGAATGAGAAAGGTTCTTGATATATGTGTCATCTTTTCTGTAGTTCCCAGCTGGAGCTGTCACCCCCGAAAAGCTCATAGCCAAGTGGGATCAAGTGACAAAGTTTGACCAAAACGCCACTTATCCGACCTCGACGTCAGAGTCTATCGAGCAGATCATGGCCAACTTTGGAGCGGATTCCGAATCGAGCGCTCCGCCTAGTGAATCTGATACTCCTCAGATGGACGATTACGCAGACCCGGAAGACTCAGAAGTCGTGGCTCGAGCTAAAAAGGAGACGATTGATCCGATTGAACTTCCTTACACCGAACGAGATTGTATCTTGTACAACTTGGGTGTAGGTGCGACCGAAAAGGAATTGAAATATGTGTTTGAAGGCAGTTCCGACTTTCAAGTCATTCCTACCTATGGAGTGATTGCTTTCAACGAGGCCTGCAAGCAGCTGCCATGTACGTATGACTTATACCTTAATCTTGACGGCACATTATATATGTAGAATACTGATTTTGTTGGCTATATGTATACAAAGTCGATTGGCTTCCTAACTTTAACCCGATGATGTTGTTACACGGTGAACAATACCTGGCCATCAAAACGCGTGAGATTCCGACCTCCGGGACCTTAGTCAATCATGCACGAATTCTTGAAGCAACAGATAAGGGTAAAGCTGCGTCAGTAGTGGTCATAGTTCATACCTATGATAAGGATAGTGGGACTTTGTTATTTGAAAATCAAGGAACCCTCTTCATTCGAGGTTCAGGTGGGTTCGGAGGTAAAAAAGTAGGAAAAGACCGAGGAGCGGCAACGGCCTTGAACAAACCACCAAACCGAGCACCAGATGCGATTTCGATTGCAAAGACCGATTCAAATCAAGCTGCATTATATAGATTGAGTGGAGATAGTAATCCATTACATATAGATCCAGAATTTGCAGCGGTCGGAGGATTCAAATCTCCAATCTTACATGGACTTTGTTTTTTTGGATTTGCAGCAAAGGCGGTAATGGAGAAATTTGGCAAGATTTCCGATGTAAAAGCAAGGTTTGTGGGGTCCGTTTACCCGGGTGAAACACTTGAGACAATGATGTGGAAGGAGGATAAGAAGGTGATCTTTGGTCAGTATATTTCAAACAATCCTTTTGGGTGGGTTTTACTTTGGGAAACTGATTTTTGAATGTTATATCTTTAGTGATGAAATGTAAGGAGAGAGATTCAGTAGTATTGGCAAGTTCAGCGGCCACCTTATTTTAAAAACCAAATCTTTTCGTTTCTATTGAAAGGACTTGGATGTAATTTATGATGATGATCGGGAAGATATTTGTTGTAATATCTAATCAAGATGTGATATGTCAAAATCAAAACTATCAGTGATCATGTTTTTTCCTTATTTTTATAATGGTGTCTTTATTTTCATGTTGTTGAACTGTATTATGATGATGGTTTGATTTTACAGTTGTATGAACAAATCTGAAGTGCAATGATAAAAAGAAACAATTGATGTATAGCCAAATTATTTCTCGTCGTTTCTAGTCATTTGCTCAGGTGAAAAAATGCAGTCTTGAAGGTCTCTTAACATCGACTACCTACCCAAATGCGGTTTTTTTGCACTCGAGGCTTTTCATTCGAAGCGGAAAGATTGTGTTCGAAGTGAATGTAGTATTATGTTTTAGATAGGATGTTGTCGATTTTAATTCATGAAGGTCAATTTTAACAATAAAATAAGATATCAATACTTAATTACAAGTTAATTCTTAACACAAGAGTGTAGTTGCAAAAAGTATCAACACAGAAAATCAATGTTGAAAGGAATGCATCATTTTGGTGTTATCTACTTACATTCGAACAGAAGTCACTTTAATGTATCAAACAAGATTAGATATACACATAAGCTGCTTAAAAAGGTAATTCTTATTATCTTGACAAAATAAAATCATGAAAATATTCACAAAAGAACATCAATTCTAAAAGAATGGATGATTTCTTGAGAGAGATGACAAGTAATTGATAAAATCAATCTTCAGTAGTACGAATATCAACGGTATAAGTCATAGCTTGGCTTGTAGTTCTTTCTTCATGATTTGAATTCGAATGAATATCATGATTAATATTATTGATCATATTCTCTTTTGAATTATTGATTATGTTTAATGATGCTACACAAGAATCTGAATATAATGTTGGTGGTTTGGGTACGATACTAGAAACTAGAGAATTTTTGAAAAATGTTAACTTTCTCATTCTAGAACAAACTCGAGTCTTTTGATTTGGAACAGATTCTTACAAAATGATATCAAGTAGATCCTATTCATGAAGCCATTCGAGACAAACACTAGGGTGTGTAACCGGTTCAGAGACTGGAAAGCTGTTGTAGGGGTAAATTGTAATGCTGATAGAAGTGTATCAAATTATTCAGTTTGTAAGGAACCGATACTTGAGAGCTCATTCATCGATAGTCCTAAGAATTCAGAACTCACCTATAATTGCGGCAGCTGACATCAGACCCAGAATAGAGGATAAGGTGAAGGTCCTGATATAGAACGAAAACGTCAGTAAACTTTGATTAGGTGAGGTTCATTGGGCATCAAACGAAACTGACCTTAACGTTAACATCATCAATCTGAATAAGGTTGATCTAATGGAGTCCGTCTTCATCTCGGCCCTATGCCTAAGTACCTCGGTTGACAACATCCAACTGATTATAATATCATAAACAGCATTACTAATTAACCAGAGTGTATAAAATCCTGTAAGACATGATCCAAGCTTTAAAGGAGCTAATTTTTTTGCTTTGTTATCTGGATTGAGCATCATGAATTGCAGAGATGAAGCTATTCCTCCTACTAATGATGATAAGCATAGAGATCCAGCTAAACAGATCCACCATTTCGGTCGACCCATGAGTTTACCAATCAGTCGGGAAAAGTGGCATCTGTTCAAAGATTAGACAAGGAATTATTTATTAGTATATATGGTAGATGTTCATGTCGATTTGTTTATATAGAAGATTACTTACTGAACAGCCCAGGTGACTGAAAGAGTGAAAAAAGTCTGAAAAGACTCATACAATGAGAATGAATAAGCTTCCCCAGAAATACATTGATTGGTTGATTGATGTAATGTCTGTTTTAGATTGTAAATGTTTTCTTGGGAGTCAATTGAAATGACGAACAAAAGAAAATGCAAGAAAAACCTTACCCAGAACTCTAAGAAAACCTGACCAATATGAATCATGGTGATTGTAACAGCTGAGATGATCACAGTCCTTGGTACTCTATCAGCGCGTGCGATGCAGAATACACCAAATTGAACAAAGATTATTCCACTGAAAAAGATCAAAAGTGACTATTTGACATGGGCACATTGTATGTCAGTTTCAGCGACTGGATATGCTTCAGCATAATTGACATAATCGATGTCCTTACCACGCTGACAGGCTGGACCCCTACGACAGCCTCGCATTGAGCTTGAGCTTGACCCTGGATAACGTATTTTGCTATCATTTCGCGAAAGTGTGATGCAAGTGATCACTGTTGTTGGGTTGTAAGAGGTGAGTCTTGGGTCAATACACGTAGATGAGACTGGGCGTTGTGGCAGATCACACGATTCGAAGAAACGTCGTGGAAGAGGAGAAAGTTGAAGCAGTGAAGGGATTGATGACAAGTTGGTGGTGAGCTATATGATTGGACTTCATACGAAGAATAACTGGGTAAGGTCGCGGTCATAAATGCTCACGATTATCAAGCTTTTAGAAAATGAAGAATGACCTGATGATTCGAGTCCCGCCGCCGCCTGGTATATATGAATTTACCAAGTTATCTTGAACCTTATCGCCAATCATCATTTTACATCTCTTCTGCTCGTTGTTCCGTTTCAGGTCTACCAATCCATCTCCAATCGTGCTTGCTTCCATTAAAAGTTTAGTCTTATTTGCGGTTATGAGTTGACCTATTCCGTCTCTGCAGCAACTGTACCATCCCCTCTGATTCAAAGCCCTGGCAAACAAAAAGAAAATGTGATGTGCTTGAAGCACAGAAACCTGCTGCACCATGGATCAAGAAACCCTCTTGTCTGATTGTACTTGTGTTTTCAGCCTATGATCTAACCGTCCCATCACTTCACGACTTCCATTTAAACCGGTACACATGAAGATCACACATCATATTACAATCCACCTATCACGATCTCATAACACTCAACGTTGACCCCAGAAAGAGCGATCCCCAATGTTTCTGCCAAATCACTGGCACCCGTGAGGAAATCTGTGTCCACCATTTTTGCGGACGGGTTATAGACACCGGCAAGGTTCGAGGTAGTCTACACCATAGTGTATCATTCATGAGCCTGAAACCTTTGCAAGGCTGTAGCAAAAGGATAGTTCTTTATTTTGAAAATATCAATTGCCAATTTCTTTTGGACAATGTTATCGGTCATTTCAATCTGTTCAAACTTCGAATGGCGACTATTTTAAAAACGAGTTGATTTAAAAACGAGTTGATGAAATGAGCAGATAAAATCCAGCACCGATTGGGCGAATAAATAAGAGGTTAATCAAACAAGAGCTCTAGATAAAGATGAAAGATTCAATGCTTGCTAAGAGAGAGAGAGATATGGAAATAAGACGACAGAAGCACACAAAAGCCTGCTGGCTTGAAAGGAACGGAGGAAAGAAAAAAGTCCAGAAGACAAGACCAAAGATGAGATCAAGAGAAAAGTCAAGTTCAAAAGCAAAGTAATCAAGAAATCAAGAAAGATCAAAAAGGAGAGTGTTCACTTCAAAATTTATCAATCAAGATCCAATAAGCCGGATCAGAAGCCAACAAGTTAGATCTAGCCGAATCTTCAAGCTCAGAATTATGATGCCAATAATGAGATTGTGGATTTGAAGGAGAGGTAGAAGGAGTGCTACTAGTAGAGCCAACTTTAGAAGTGGAATTCTTGATAGTATAGATTTGATCTATACCTTTGATTCTGACAGGAAAATGAGACAAAAGAGTCAATTTGAGTGGTAAAGCCAGTGTGGAATATTCAGAAGGTAAGGACCCGATAGACTGATGGGATGGGGTTGGAGCAGCTTGAGGAGTTGGTGAAGAGAGTCTTGATATTTCATTCTGATTTAAATTCTTCAATGGATCCAATAAATTGAAAAGATCTCGAATTTGTTGATTTGTTAAGATTTGACATTCTAATCCGCGCGGTCTGAAGAGATATTCATTTGACTTTAAAATAAATCGGTCGATTGGCTTCGGTTCGTTTGAATATTCAGGTGGTGGTGTCGAGAAATCTTGTTCGGCTGGGGGTGGAAAATGGAATGTCCTACAAATCAAAAGATTACAAAAGAAGAATTAGTCAAAATTTAAAATTCTAAAGAAAATCGTTAAAATCCAACTCAACTCATGATAATCTTGTAAATCAGATGCAGCGCAACCAGTACCAATTCCAGCTAACAGAAGTGCATTGGTTAGATCGAGAAAATCGGTGAAGAGTTCGATTGATATGCGATTGGTAGATTGATTCAATTCTTCAGTTGCACATCTTAAAAATGGAGCTGAAGGTGTTCCTGCAGTAGATTGGGGAATAAGCATCGGTTTGGATAACATAATTGGAGGTTGAATTGGTGAATTCATTTCAGGATTATCTTGAGGAATCCGATTCATGGTCTTGAGTTTCCTGATAAATATTTTAGATTCAATAAAAGCTTCATGAATCAATTTCGAATGATTGAAAGGCTACGAAAAATAGATAATGATCAATGAGCCTTCAAAGAATTCATGAAGGGAAACAAATGAATTCACTAACTAAGAATGAACCACGACCAATTCTAAAACCAGATTGATGAGCAGAAGGTTTTTTAGGTCGAGACCAAGATGCCAATTGGATTGTATATGAGGTATTTGGGGGGCTAGGAGGTGTAGGGCTTGAATTTGAACATGAAGGTGGAGGTACTGAATCTGTGTCAATGTTCGTCAATTCTGCGTGGCCTCCTCTCCGTCGCCGCTTAGTTGTCTTTGGTAGAGCCAAGAAACTCATGATAAAATCAAAACCACGCAAGGGATTCTAGAAATAGTTGAAGAATATGATATGAAGGATTCAAAAAAACGAGATGAGATGTTGCGATGATGAGATAATTTCCAAAATGACTTGGCTATGAGACCAATGGGTATATATCTTTTGGATTGAATAAAAACCTCGCTTAGGAGCTTCGTGGTGTAATTGTTGATTTTAATTGAAAATGATAAAAACCCAGAAGACGAAAGATACGTGAAAATTGAGTTTAGAACGAGAGACTTGTCAAGGACGAGTTATGAAAATAACTGGTGTACTGTCTATTAGTGTCGATTGCACAAACTTGCCAAAGTTTCAGCGCCAATATGCTCGAGTTTTGCGGGAAAAGCCGTTCAGAATTGGACAAGTTTTTTGAAATTGACAGTAAACAATAGAAATTAATTTGTAAACCTTCAATCAAACAATTTCTCACCAAATATGTTAAGTATACATACACATAAATCTTTGTACATATGGTCAAAGATGAAAAAGGTTATTTGTGAATGCACGTCGTAGCAAGTGGTATTACAATCTACGTATCAACAAAGAAAGAGGAGACTTATATCAAAAAACTGATAAGAATCTATAGTAAACTTATCCGCTAACTTACTCAAGTCCCTCTCGGACAAGTCACGAAACTCGTGGACGAGTCACGAAACTCGCTCGTCCGAGAGGGACTTTATAATTTAGGCTGATTCCATTGATTGAAGATTGTGTTGAAGTGAGTTTGCTATCAAAGAGTTTGTCTTAAACTCAGCGTAACTCAGCAATGCGATTCAAAATTAATAACAGAGACTTCAAGTTAAGGTCTGTGTTAAACACCGGTGGGAATGAAACATTTTCACTCAACAATGGAATTTACGCTAAAAGAACTTAGTTCATGATATATTGATTCAAATCGTCATGACTATCATGTCGGAATCCTCCGATGCCCACCCAGACAGACAGATATCCCCAGGCTAAAAAATATTAAAGTGATTAAAGCAATTGTCTAATCTTACGAAGATACACATAAATGTCCTGAAGTATCTCAAGGAAAGATTGGTTGGCGTGTACATATCAATCTCGGCCACTTGAAACTTCTTGGGTTCTGGACCTGGTAGGTTCTGGTCTGTCCTGCTTGGTTCTCCTTGGATCTCGAGTCCCTTTGCTTTTGGTGCACGTTACACTGCGGGCTCTGATTGCGCCATATCTTTGAACTTTGTCGAAACAAGGAATCAACACGAATCGTCTCAGAAAAACTCAACTTCAGCATGTATATCTGAAGAGATCTGTTCCTATCTGTTCACTTACATTTTTCTTATACTCAAGCATTAAGTTTAAGATTGACAACTTACTTCCTGAATACATATCGGTTTGTTTGCTTCATCTCGATGAGCGTTAATCAAGCTTTCTTTATGTTTTGACTTCGTTCTTCCCTGAAGAATAGTGGCTCTCAAACCTGCCCCGGTTTTCAAAAAACCCAGTTGACCCAGTTGTTTTTTGGCAGTAACTTTGTGTATCAAGTTGACATTTGTTGACAGCTCCCAGCCAAAAATTCAACTGGGGCAACCGGGTTTTTTGAAACTGGGTCAGGTTTGAGAGCCACTAATTTGCAATCAGTCTAAAATGGTCCAGGAAATTGGATCAATATCACAGACTGTCAAGTTCAAGATGGGCACCGGCCGGTATCCGGCGTGTTCAGGTCATTCCGACAACCGAACCGACGGATTTTCCGGCCACCGGATGATTTCAAAGGCCTTTCCGGCATTTGGATCCGAGGGATTCTCCGACGGATATTCGGCCAAAATCCGGTCTGACAATGCGGTATCCGGCGTGTTCAGGCCATTCCTCGATTGAAAAACATCAGAAATAGCGTACTGTCAAATCTCGTTACGGAGTTTGTCGGGAAATAACCGTTGAGGCAGTTTTCACACCCTACCACTCATTCAATAATTCCAAAATCGCTTATAAAGACTCACGTACATAACTGGGTTCGATTGAACGAGCCCCGACATCCAGATCCGTCGGATGCTCCGCCGGGGACCCGACGGGTCCGGATGTCGGCTGAGGTGAGAGAAACCCCCCCAAACCGGATAATCCGTCGGTTCGGGGGTCGGGCGACAAAGTAAGAAAAAAAAGTAACCGACGGATATCCGACGGATATAGTGGTTCAGACAACAGGCTATACGTGTGCTTTGCAAAGGCTTATAAAGGAAGAAAACAACAAAAAAGATACAAATTTGAAAGGAACTAATCTATCACAATGGGCATCTTAGTATCAGGCATAGCGTCGGTCCTATACAAAGGACCAAAAACACGGTACCAATCTTTGATACATAAAAGGACCTCAACATTTAATGAAGCAAGATTAGCACGCTGGGGTCCCAAGATTCTCTTAGACTTGCTGAAAACTCCTTCCGATGGACAACTTGTTGCTGGGATGGCCAGCATCTGCATTGCCATCTTCGCCAATCCAGGATAGATATCCTGTCGAGATGACCAAAATGTTAAAGGTTGGGTTATACGAGGTTCAAGTTTATCACTGAGGTATCAATTGATCTCGCCTAAAATTGATTGGTCCTGTTCTTGATCTTGGACACCAAAAATCTCGTCTTCAAAAAACTGGGAAGTAGACATGACAGTTGATCTAGTAGTTGGTTGATTGCTGACTTGTGCTTCAACCTCAAACTTCCTTGCCTCACGCTCAAACATCATCCTGATGTTGGGAATAAAGAGATCGTAATCGGCCAAGAACATCTCTCGTTCCTATGTGTTGATCAATCAAAATCTTAATCAGTACAGAGCGCTAAGTAAAAATGTATGTTTGATATCTAAACTTACTTGAAAATATGATAACTTGAGGCGCGGATCCAAAATCGTAGCACAAATGGGAGCAGGTTTAGAAAGAACTTTTTTGAAATAATCTTCAAGCTTGGTAATCATCTTTTGGGATGCAGGTATGAGTTGTTCATGATCGTATCGGTTGACAACCTGAAGTTGATTTTATATTAGCCTAATGAAAATGTAATAAAGGATTGATTGATCACTTACCGCTTTGAGACCTCGTATGACCACAACATAAATAGGTACCACTTGATGCATTGTTGGGTATCTTGACTGGCAAAGTAAGTCGGTTGCATAGCTGAGAGGTTCGAGAAATTCACACATTTGCTTGACATAATTCCACTCGAGTGGTGAGAGAGCAAACTTCCTATAGGTTGGAGCCTTACAGTACTCATCGCAAGCTTCTTGCAGTCGTAAAAGCCTTCGAAACATGTAATACGAGGAGTTCCATCGTGTCGCGACATCTGTTGCGATGGACTAGAGCACACGAGTGAAATGCGGAAAGGGTATTAGCCTTAGTATTTCATGAGACAACACAAACATAAGAAAAGGACAAAAGAAAACAAAGATAGACCTACCTAGAGCACACGAGTGAAATGCGGAAAGGGTGAGGAGAAAAGCCCTTTCCTGGTGTGGCTCTAGGAAGTCTATATACAAAGTTTGATACGTAAGCTTTATGTAATAGCTTAGTAGAAAGAGAACACAAGTAGATTGATCCGATGAGAAATAGCGATCACTGATCATTGATCAGAGGATCAGATGAGAAACACTAGATGGTCTACAAATGATGAGATGTGAAGGAAGATGGTAAGCACATCAATCGTGAGAAAGATAATGGAATACAGCGATGTTCAGGTAATGACGTCGTGACTATTCCAACACCCCCCCTTGCGTCCAGCTAACTTCACTGAGTATGAGAAAAAAAATAAACACACACAAATATACACTAAGAATGAGACAGTAAAAAAAAAAAATCAGACAAGAAGAGACATAATACAAAAACAGAGAAAGAAAAAAAATCAAACTATGCCAAACATGGCACGATGGCGTTCAAGCATCACTCGAGGAAGAGGTTTTGTTAATAGATCCGCAAGCATATCCTTGGTGGAAACGTGTAACATAGCGATATCATTATTCTTAACACATTCACGGACAAAGTGATAACGGGTGTGGATATGTTTAGTCCTGGCATGATGTTGAGGATTGCGAGCAAGAGCCTCGGCACCTTCATTGTCGACATGTAGTGGTATGGCTGAGGGAGGTCGTATATTCAGTTCAGCTAAAAGGTTTTTCAACCAGAGGCCCTCGCGGCAGGAATCAGACATTGCTTTGTATTCGGCTTCAGTGCTGGAGAGGGAGACAGTCGTTTGCTTGCGAGATTTCCAAGAGATGGGACCAACACCAAAACGATAGGTGTAGCCAGTGGTCGAGCGCCTGTCGTGACGGTCTTCAGCCCAGTCCGAGTCGGAGTATCCTGAAAAGGTGGCGGAACCCCCTAGCGTGAGACGAAGATCGGCAGTTGACACTAGATAGTTAAGAATTCGTAGGGCAGCAGTCCAGTGGGTGGAGGAAGGATCTCGTAGGAATTGGGATAGTCGACTAACTGCGAAAGAAATATCGGCCCTAGTGCATTGCGCGACCCAGAGAAGGGCACCGATAAGGCTTGAAAAGTGACCCGGAGACTTCATTTCACCTTCAGTACGAGGTTTCAGATCCTTGAACACAGCATCGGTCGGAGTCTTGACAGAGGGAGAACCTGATGGTAGGAATTGCTCAGCAATCTCTCGAATATAATGAGCTTGAGACAAGAAGACTTTTTGACCAGGGATATCACGACTGATGTCGAGTGACAGAAAGTGGGTCAATTCTTTATTGGACGAGATTTCGAATTTGTTGGAGATGGCTTTGATGATTTCGTTCACGAAAGAGTCTTCACCAACAATAGCAAGATCATCAACGTGGATGGCAACAGCACCGACAAGCTTCCCAGCGACAATCCGATAGTACAGAGTGGGGTCGTATTTTGACTGAACAAGATTAAGAGTGATAAGAAATTTGTGTAGTTCCGCGTTCCACAAGCGCGGTGACTGCTTGAGACCATACAGAGAGCGCTGAAGCTCGCAGACCCAATCAGGATGGTCAGGATCTTCGTATCCCTGTGGCTGAGTCATGAGAATGGAACCATCAAGGAGTGAATTCAAGAATGCCGATTTAATATCTATTTGACGGCCAACCCACTTCTTGAACGCAAGTAACGAGAAGACGAGTCGGAGAGTTTCAAGCCGGGTAGTAGGTGAGAAGATTTCTTGATAGTCGACTCCAGCTACCTGAGAGTAGCCCATGGCAACAAGTCGGGCTTTGAGTTTGTCCAAGGTACCGTCAATATTTCGTTTAACCTTGAA